CTAATAGGATATCTATCTTTTCGCGTTTTTTTATATCATACTTCTTGCAATTGGTCGCCATATGTCACTCGCCACACACGACATTGTTTTACGACATTGTGATGGCTAAAAGGTGTACGAGTAGCCAGCGATTCTCATCCGCTGTTATTGAACATCTCTAATATTGATTAGAAGCATCGATTAAAATTGAGATGGAAATGGAATAAGATGTAATTAATTTTTTTATTGCAAGAAGAATCTTTACCCCTTTAATTGCTATTATACAAAACTTCAGAATTTTTGCCGAAAACAAGGACAAGTGGAGAGATGGAAGACAATCGGCAAGTTGACATGTCTTGGTCGAAAGATTATGGGAGCAATAAAAGTACCCTCATCGCGAAGCAGTTTTCTGCACATCTGCTTTGCAGATCCCGCACCCACATCCCAAAATGATGTGACGCAATATTTAATTTAACAAATTAATATTTCTCAATTTAATTCCGACATATTAGTGTTTTTAGTTTTCATCAATCTTCTTTTATTAATTTCAAATTATTCAATGCTTCTCTGCTATCTAGTATATTCACAGATAACTATTAAATTGAAGATAAAGTCTAATTAAACTTAATAACAAAAATAAAATATCCAAAGGACTTTTTTATATCAATCTCGTTTATTTTAAATGCGACCTGAGTAATAATACTTTGACTAGTTATGCTTGCATCGTAAACTATATTTACGATCCATCACGAGATAGAACTAATGAATGTAATAAGTAATCAAGCATCGTGCAAAGTTCCGCGAAAGCGATGTATTATTCACTGAAAAAAGGTAAGATGGAATAGAGATTATCCCGTTGCGTGCACCGTAATTATTTTTATCATTATCCGAACCGTCGTTGAAAAACACGATAAGATAAGAATTGTAATTGACGTTTTAAATCCTTTAAAATTTGTTATTTTTAAAATAAATTTTTAAAAATTTAATTTAATTTAATTTAATTTTTTGTGTAAAACAAAATTTTTGTTACTTTTAAACATTTTTTATGAAAAAGATATGTATATAAAGAATATAAACAGTTGTTAAAAGGATTTGCTTGCAAAGATCACGACTAGGGAAGATTATGTTACATATATAAAGGAAACGATAAGCCAGTGTACGATATTTGTGATAAGGAATGACGTAATCGTCGTCCGACAGGACGTTCACTAAAACCGGAATTTTGCGGTCGATCACAAGTATTTATTAACGTAGGCAATAATACAATACTCGGTTCTCTGGATAATTTTCCCTGCGTTTATCGTAAAACAGTAGGCATTTTGCGCGTTACATCGCTACGTAATGAATAGCTTTCAGTTTTTTCCGTCTCGATGAAAAACCAGGTTTTAAGGAGAAAATCATGATAGCGTCTCGAAATCTGTAATATTGTTCACGACATCTTATTCCACCCTACAATTAGGCCGGTATACGTGAAGTATTATACGAATTATTTTTTAATTATTATCGCTTCGCATGTTATCGCACATTTTAATAATTTCCATATATTGTTTGAGATTTAAATAAAGACTGAAACATTTCTGGTATGTATGTTGGTTGATTTTAATTTGAATTTTATTTACGTCACTGCTGCTTGGCTCTTTGTATTTTCTTCTTTTAATTTTTTCATTAATCAGACAACCGAGGCAATTATTCTTTTCCAGATATTATATTTGTATAATTTATACTTTAAGTATACATTTTCATTCTGTACATTTAACAGTGCCTGCTAAAAATCTATAGACAACTCTTTTCGCTAAAATAGGGCGATCTCGATAGCAAACGTGAACTTTGTCACGACTTTACAAAGTACACGTGCGGGCGCGATCGATTGCGAGATCCAGGTGCTCACCTTTGTCCCGTTATCGTTATCGCTATAATAGTCGTGACAACAAAGAAGGACTGTCAGCGTGACATTTCTTTCGCATGCGAATTAGATATCGTTGACAGCGAGTGTTATCGAGTCTTTCGATGATGATCATCACCATCAATTGCCATTGTTGTCATCGGTTTGAGTATAATTTGAATTCATAGTTTATTTAAACTAATGTGAAATCAATTAGCCAAACTCCTTTTCTCACGATTTACGCCAATTTATAATACTCTTTGCATGTCGTAAATAGAAAATTAGTGGAATTAAGGTCAACGTGCCATTTAAACTTGCGATTACCTTCACCATCGACCTCGATGGCTGTCGGATTTCCGGAAACTCGGAAAATCGAGTCGATTTCAGTCGTGGAATTTGAGTGGATACCTGCAAATACTACTTTTCTTTTTTATAAAATTTCCGAATTTTATTGTACCTTGAGATTGAAGCGAAATTTTGCGATCATGATCTTAATCGATAGAAACATAAGCTGCAGCTCGCCTAGATAATGAATATCGATGCCTCGTGATAACAATGTTATCGTTGCCCAGATACCAGCTGTAGACGACAAGTTTCTAAGGTAACCGAGTTAATAAATCGATAAACAGAAAGGACAGAAATTTTATTCTTTATTAATCTCGAAAAGGTATCATCGGAACGCGGAGAGAAAAAGCAAAATAAACGCAGGTAGATAATTTAGATACCACGCGAATAATTCGAATCATAGAAAAATAGATATTGTGGACGAAATGTAATAGGATGAAAATGTGAAGAGAAATTAACTCGAATACATTCGAAGGTGGTTTCCGCGAGCGAGGGAGGATGAAAAAGTCTCGACAAAGTCATCAAGCGGCGATTGCACAATCTCGGAGCTGGGAGACCAGGCGCTGACCTATAGAATCTCTTTTCTAGGACAATTGCCATTCTCGCGCGTTTAGTCACAATCACGCATTTATCGAGACAAGATCAAGAACGGTTACTCGGTATCGCTAACATTCCAACGATAACGACAGTTTGCGTTGTCAAAAGAGGGTGACAATCGCGAATATGCATACGATAATCGAAATATACACACACAATTGTCCCCTTTATTTAAAATATCCTTCATCAATTTGGAAGTGATTTTAATAAAAATTATACCAAAAATATGTTTTAAAGATGCGATATTAATTTTCAATCAAGAATATTTTTAAAACAAAGCTGTAGAAAATTTAGATCATTGTTTCAATTTTCTATAAAATTTAAATGAGAGAAACTTTCAAGGTTCGTTAGATAGAATCGTACTATAATTTTTATATTTTTCCTAGAGATTTACATGTTTTTAATCCGTAATTTTGGAGAATATTATTGGTCGGGATAAAGAATGTCTTGGAACAAAGACTGCAAAGTGTTAAGTCCAAGTCAGCTGAGCGGAGCCACGAAGCTCGCGTTTCGCGTTTTATCCGAGAAGGGACACGTTTCGCTCACGTTTACATTACGTATACGGCGGTCCCATCGGTGGTCCTACCTGTTTCCGTCTGGGCACGATGGGCCGACCGCGTAAGACGCACACACATGCACACTCGCGTTACGTGAGGCAGACTTTGCGTCTCTTTCTTCCCTTCGTTCTATACCTGCTTTTCTTACTTTCTCTTTTCTCCCCGCCTGCCGACTTGGTCCAGGGCTGGAGTCGCTAATTAAGAAATCCCCCGATTCCTCGATTCTCAACAATATAATCGAAATAATGCGAGAAAAAATATTTATATTTTACGTGATAATTTTTTAAATTTCTATGATTTAATCTCATATATTTAGTCTATCTCGTACGATTGATTTAATTTTGTCAAATTGCTTTTATTGTTTGCTTATAATAATTTATTTTTTTCTGCAATGTAAAAATAATAACAAAATAGCTCTATTACTTACGTATAATAATAGCATTCGTAAATTCTTTTGTATATTTTTGTGTCGCACTTCACGGTCGTACATCTTTAAAAATTCAAAGAGCCAGAGAAAATTTTCCATCCGGAGGAACAAAACATATTATGACATATACATTCCATTTAGCACAATCTATGTTTCAGTTACGGACTCGGATTTATACACGCGAAGGAATGGAACTCTGCTTTTGAAAATCCGAGCCTGAGAAGCACTAGTCTCCCTTCTCCAGCGTTCGCTGGTGGCTCGACGACGAAGCACCGAGTGTTCTCCGACCAGTCGGAGTCGGTCCGTGGTTTAAGTTTCGTCTTGTCTGTGTGTGCCTCGTACTTTGTCAAGTTTCTCGATTTTCTTGGTGTTTTCTTCGCGACGCAAAATTCGTGCCTCAAATTCAGGGTTTCTTCTCCTTTGAATGCGTTCATTCGTCCAAGATGTGAAACGCAAACGAGCCCGCGTCTCGGTAAACTAGTCGGGAGTCGGGACTCGAGCCGGGCCCCGAGGGGGCTCGAGAGAAGAACCCGGAGCACGCGGAATGCTGCCGCGCGACCAGGTGAAATTCGGCCGCGCCGTTGTGGTGTGCGTCATCGAGAGCGATGTAAAATTCCTCGCGGATTCACACAAGTACATTAGGAATGTCCGAAGATAGTGCAAAGAGGGGAATCTGACAAGGTAAATACTCGCCTTATGAATAGCAAAATATTGGAGTATTTCCAAGATAATAGCCTTGAATAGAATCGAGTTTAATATATCATAGATATATTTTTCCAGACTCTATATTATGTAAATTTTTATTTTTTAAAGTCGACAGAGGACTTGTCGTGAATTTTTTGTAATATTGTTGGAAAAGGTGGATTTAAAAAGAAATGATTTCATCGATTAATTCGTTCTTTATTCTGACAATTCGCGAGGAATTTGACGTTTCATATACGCTACCTCCCTTAACGGGGACCATCGTTCGACGACGACACCTGGCTGGGCTTTGTACGTTTCGCAGTCAGCTCTGAGCGGGAGGGAATTGCATATGCCGGTGTTTTCGAGCAAAACAATGCGAGTGCGTTGCAGCTGTTGCAAGGCGCGCAACAAATGCAGCCTGTATGTAACGTGCGAGAGAAAGTGCATTCTCTCTCTCTCCTTCTCTCTCTTTTCATTCATCGAACGCCGCGCGCGCGACATCGAAGCGTGACGTCAGTGGCGAACCGCTTGTCCGGGGCAGAGATTGCGCCGGATCTTGACGCTCTTTAACGAGGACCTCTCCTCCAGTATCTATATCCGTCCTCTCCTCATCTAGGCCGTTATCACTCGGCGGGTCCGGAACCGATCGGCGGCGAGATCGAGATCGAGATCGAGATCGAGATCGAGCGCGAGATCTCTCGCCTCGATCGCACAAAGGCGAATAACTGTACCGACCCCCGATCTGTTTCGAGTCGACTCACTTGACCTCCAATCGTGTGCACCGTCAACCGAAAAACCCGTTGCTCGAGGAACGGAGAAAGTCGCGCAGCACACTTTTTCGATACGTATTATATTATGTTAACGGGCTCGTGAATTTTCGTAAACTCGCCGTCCGACACGTGGGCGTCGAGAGGAGGACGACGAGAACCGGGGGGGGACAAGCGGAAGGCTACCTTTCCTCCCGCCTGGCTGCGACATTGAGAGATGAAACGAGTTCGCGTGTCGTTGTGTCACGCTTCTCTTCCTGCCGTGCTCTTCCTGTTTATGATGCCTTTTTTTCGAGTTGCTCTTTCGCCTGCGTAAGCTTTTCACAGTCATTACCGCAGCCGAGTTGTCACGTAGGATTATTAACCGACGTCGAGTAATGACTGTTAATTACTTTTGTTATATTTGTTTTCCTTAGAATTATATGCGCCGATGAAATTTTATAAATAAATGTTAAAATTAAATTTTCAACTGAGGAGAAATAAATCAAAGGTTACATGTGGAATAAATGTGGAGGATATTGAAATTTTTTTATAATTTTATAACGTACGTCAACTATCACGGAATCATCTTGTATTAAATTTAAAATAAAAGGAAACTTCATTTCATTAAAATATAAAATATATGAAAATTATAAAATATAAAATTAATAATAATATTAAATATATAATATTAAAATATAAAATTTTAAATATAAAATTGTATTTAATCGCTGAAATAGACTTTATCATTAATTCTTAAGAGAATAACATTTATGAAATGGTATCTATTAAATACCTGATAAAAATGTAATCGCAGATATACGAAAATTTACATATTTTTATGCAACTTTTCTAAATTCACAATTTTCTGGAATGCATGATGTGAAAAATTAATGATTTTTATTCACGCCAATGCGTTTGTTTCACTTTTATCCCGCGTAAATTTAGAAAAAAATTGTCTGGCGAAATTCCCGTAACATTTGTTCGTCTCTCTTAGAGTCAGGGGCGTATATATAATTTATGGTCAGCTCCAACAGCCTGAGAAACTCCCGTCCTGATGACTCGGTAACCTTGTAATCGGCCGGTCCGAGCTTCTTAAGAATTTCACGGAAGGATCCTCGCGCAGGTTCCTCCCGTTAGCGTTCTCCTTCAGCGAGCACAGGTATTTCGAGCTCGCGCGATTGTTTCGCCTCTGCGTGAAGAATGCGAGGCTGGCGATACGGGAAAGATTCTTGCCGTGGCGAGATTAATTCCGGATAAAAAAATCATATAGGTCAGTGTAAAAATGTAAGCCTTACATGCGAATGGCCGGATGTATAAAAATGGTTACAGAAGGACGAATTAAAATACCACAATACGAAGCGTGGAATTGGCACAATTTTTATTAAATTTTTTAACTAGCGTATATCAAAGATAGCGACGCCATTTAATCGTCTAAAAATTGCATGTTTGTTTATTAATCGAGGAAATACGATCTTGCTCTTCCTCGCGATGTGATTAGCATCTCGATTTAATTAGACGCAGCTATCGATTTAAGGATGCTGAACATCGAACGAGTTATCTACCAGGGGATTCGAGATGGGGGAATATATCTTGTTTCCAGCCGATATATCGTATCCGTAACTCTGTAAAGCGGGAAAGGTGCGTGTATCGAGCCGCGAATAAACCACGCGTAATTGCGGCTTGCACTTTAGCCGCATCGCCGTTAGATCGTTGACTGCGTTAAATTGCGACTAGCGGAAAGTGCCGCTTTGCGATTTCCTTTTCTAAAAAGCAAGTTTTGCCGCATGCGGAAACAGAAATCACGGAACTGTAAATTCTCTTGAGAATACTACTTCGAGAAAGGCACTATAAATGACGACGAGAAAAATAAAGTCTAAATAGAAAAAAATAAGTTCTAAATAATTTAATAATTTTAAATGTAAATATTTTTGATTCTTTGTTTTTAGAAATATTTTTTCAATTTTAGTTTACGTCCACAAGAGCCTGTTTGATTAGATAAAAATTTTTATTACATCGCGCGAATCGTCGTTTTCTTTTATAGAAAATTAACAATAAAATTAGACAATTGATATATTTAGATTCAAAAGTAAATCTCGTATATATATTACATATAATTTTAGTCTCAACTATTTGCGCTTTTAAATTTTAATTCACCTAAATCCTCTGATTAAATCATCATTCGGGTCATTTGTCAAAAAAGTGAATCTCATTAACTGATGCTGGCGCAACAATGAGACTCGCTGTACATTGTATCGTGCATGACCCAAAATGCAAACGCTTCGCCTACCCTTGGATAGTCATGGCGTCAAGTCGAAAGGTATTTACCTAACAATGAATCGCCGTCGTTCGATGAAACGACGGGGAACCGCGATTTACCGGTTCTCGATGGCCAGGTCAAGTCCTTCCGGTTTTCGAGTCAGCCCGATCTCAGACCCCATCTACATCTGGACGAATGTCTGTCTTTCTTTGAGTCAGCTCAACCGAGACTCTTCCTCTTTCGTTCACGGGAAGCAAAACCAAAGCTGGACATTGTTCATCGATTTTGCGCGGACGTTGATGGCATTCATTCTTCATGTCTGCAATGCATGATGAATAATATCTTGTTTCGCATTATACGAAGCCGTTTATCTTGAGAGAGTAACGTAGAAATTTAAAAAAAGAAAAATCTCTGAGAAAAAAAAAGGAATTAATTTTATTTTGTTTTTAATGTAAATATTAATTCTTTTTTAATTCATTTATCTCTGTAAAATTAAAGTTATTTAACACAATCTAATAAATATTTTCATGAAAAAAGCACGAGACTCTAAATTAATCAAAGAATGTTCATTAAAGTTCGATCTTGTAGTGATCATCTTTAACGTGCAGAAATCTTCTGTATTCGAGAAATGTTTTTTAATTCATTTTAAAGATGGAAATCGAGGTCCGGACGCTCAAACAGGAATTGGCGCGCACGCAAGACGCTCTAAAGGCCGCCACAAAAAAATGCCGGGATCTGGTGAAGGAACTGGATCACCGCATCTCTGGTCACGAGTCCGAAAAAATTCTGCGGGATCAGCAGCTATCGAGGATATTGCGGGCGTTGTTGTACCTGGAGGCGCGACTCAGGCAAGAACAAAAATCAATTAGACAAATGCTCTGCGAGAAAGACAATGTTATTAGAAATCAGCAGCTGGAAATTACGATGCTCAGGCGGTACACGAAGAACTACATTAAGGGCAAACGTGATCGAACGACGATAGCCGCCGACGTCGGGACAGTTAACGTCAACGTCGAGAACAATCTGCAGAACCTCGGCGATTTGCAAGTAATTTAAATAAAAATTATGCATAATTAATTCCTGTCCACAATAGCGATTTATTTGGAAACAAATTTAGAAAATTAATAATGAGAATTAAATAAAATTATATAATATTATATAAAAAAATAAAAGTATAAAATAATTTTTTATATTCTACATTTTTTATTCGAATGTCGTCGACTAACTCGCGCGCCAATTATTTTTTCAGAGAGAAACGCTGCAGGAGAGCAGTATCAGCAAAGATATCGCGAGCCTGAAATGCGAGATAATCACGCGACTGAACCCGGCATCATCTGGTTTGTTGGACGAGCTTGGCCGCAACAGTGTGAGAAAGACGCACAGTTTTGCCGGCAGTGACATCTCCAAAGCCAGTTTAACCAGCAGTGAAAACACAGATGCATCCATCATCACCACGACGACGGAAGGTAGCCCTTCGTTGCTTAGCACAGAGGGTTTTTGCGAGGGCGAAAGCACAGACGTGTCGCCTGGTTCGACTCTCAACAAGTGCTCTAGTAGGTGTACACCGACGACAGTGACCGATAGCGAAAACGAAACAACCATGATCGCGGACGAAAACGAAGAGGACATGATAGAAGAAGGCGGTATGACGACGACCAAGAGAAAGACGTCCCTTCGCAGGGCGAAGGGCCAGAAGACGTCGTCCAAGAATTCCGATGTGATAGTCGAAGTAATCAGTATCACGAGGACAGAGAGTAAAGACGATGGGATGGATTGCAACTTTGTCTCAGAAGATGAGAACCAGAGCGCAAAGATGAACAATCAAGAAGAAAAAAATAAGGAACCGATTTACGTTAATGCTTACAACGAAGCGAACGAGAAGAATTCACAGCAGACGGAATTGTCGAGGACAAAGGATGATCATAGCAATAACAATAATGTGTATGTTTTAAACAATTTTTTCTTCATTAAGATACTTTCATTAATATTACGTTCATGCCATTATATTTATTTCTTGTTTTTTTAAGACAATTGCCTTTATTTTAATATTTTTTAGCAGCGAGGTAAAGATCGAGACACCTGAGCTGATGGTGGAGGATACTAGCGGAAATTGGTACAGTGATCCTGATGAGGACCGGCTGAACGACGACGTGTTCAGGCACAGCACCTATCGACCAAATAGTAACCACAATTCTGTGCTGGAATGCGTGAATCAAATCCTGCTGCAAGATATGGAGGACGAGGAGAATTCGATGCTGTCGGTGCCACGTCGGTTCAAGCATCGCGGCAGGATCGTACGTTTCCAGCCAGCTAGATTGTCCGATATCGAATCGGTGGGTTCGGAAATGGAAAGGAGAAACTCTGAGGAATCCGCCGCAGACAGCAAGGATTCTCCAAAAGAAGAAGAGTCCATGGAAAACGAGACGAGCGCATCCGAGGATGAGTTTGGCATGAGAATTGTTCAAAAAGAGTCGGACGATGATTCAAAAGACGACTCTAAGGCGATTCCGCTAGTCATCATCGAACCTAAGATCGATGTTGAAGAAACGAGAAAGGCTTTGGTGAAATCTCAAGTGGCTAATCCTCCCTTAAAAATGGAAAGGATTGAGGAGAAGACTTGTCTACAAATGTCTGCACGAGGATTAACTATTGCCAGGAACCTGGACTATGAAGACATAGAGTCATTGCCAGAAGTAACAATGTCGTCGCCGACGCCGCCCAGAACACCACCGGCATTACCACCGAAGCCGCAGTTTCGTAATAATACTCTAATTCTAAAGAAGATCCCGAGTCCGTCATTCCTAATCGATGAAAAGAGGCAGCAAGACTCTATAGGAGGTATGGATCCTACGAAAAGAGGCATTTTGGGATTGGTATCATCAAAGACGGCAAGGAATTTGAATTTGGAAGAGGCAAAGAGTTCCCAGACTAGAAGTTCGACGAGGGAGACAAAAGGTCGCGAAGGCGGTGGATTTTGGAAGAACAGATTCAATCATGTCCGCTCATCCTTTCAAGTAAGACAAAAGGAGCGAGATCAGTCAAAAAATGCTGCCAGAGTTACAAACATCGTTCGGCATTTCGAGGAATTCAAAATCGGCGATCCTGAAGAGCAGACGAAAGATAGAAATCGTCCAAAGGAACGTCACAGTGAACTCGATCAAGTAAGATTTCTCACGAGAAATTTATCATAAATTGTATTAGAAAAAGTAACTAATTTATAAAATAATTTTTTCCAGGACTTTGACATTCGGCAAAATTTTGAAGAGTTCAATCTGGATGAATGCGACTTGTCGGATGATCCCGATCGGCCCGAGGGCGATGGATCCGAGAGATTAAGCTATAACGGGCTCAACAACGTCGATCAGAACGGCGTCGTCAAAGACAACAATAATGTTTCTGCTATTAATAACGGTAATAGCAACGGCGAAACCGGGGGAACCAGCGGATACGATCATTTCCTCGAGGCAACCGGTCTCAGTAACAAGTCAATTCTCACACCTTCGAGGTTGCTGAGCAATCACAAAAGCATGTTAAAACCGAAAGATGTAAAATATAAGAGCAGAATTAAGGCTACGGCAGTGTTGGAAAGGCACGGGGTGCAAACGACGGCCGGCAATGCTACGACGCATGTGAAACACTGGACCGGCCCGTTCGTCTGACGTCTGGCCAATGTCCTGCCGGGCAAAAATATTTTTCGTCCTACAGTGTCGGCCGACAACTCACCGATAAAGGCAAAGTTCAAAAGATCTTTTAATTCCCTAAGGCTTAATTAAATATTTTTAGCCGCCTGTTCTCGTAGACAGTAAATGATTCTCGCTTTTGAAATGGAAACTAAAATGGAAAAATTCTAAACAATATCGTGAACAGAAAATTCTTTCTGATGAAGTTATCAAGCAGGTAGAAAAGAATACAATTTCATTTTCTGCTTTGCTAATATCGTGCGTGATATATCATAAATTATGATTTTTAATATATCTATAAAATGTATACACGTGAATTTTTTATAGATTTTAAAGTCGCACTTGCAGTAATTCTTAACTTATTTGATCTTTTCTTGTAAGATGTTTATGATATGTTGATTGAACTGTTTTTGCTGTGAAATTATTTATAAGTCTTTGTAATCTGTGAAAAAAATATGACTTGTCTCCATTTTTTTGGTACGATACTTTTTTTATTTATAAAAATTGTTACCTCGAAACAAGAACTATTATATCATCATTCATTACCTTACATGATTTTTATTTAATGAATGTTTGGTGTTAAAGATATGTTTGATGGTTCACTTCTCACCACGTCATCTTTTATTAAAACTATTGTTTAACATACACGAGTATCTCTATCTTAAATTACATTCGCATACACGTGTGATGATCAAGAGGAATCTTATCGTAAAGTACGAATTTAATATCGAAGAATAAAACGATGAAAGATTTTAATTGGAAGAACAGGATCTAACGTCGCGTTTCGTCGACATCGAAGACATGTTTTCTTCAATACACAACCATATATACTTTTAGATAGAATTATATAAATACAAACATGAATATATAAATAAAAAATATTGCAATAGATACTTTATTAACATAAAAGAAAAAATGCAATTTGATGAAAACTTGCAGAGGACAAACATTCTCCATATAAAAAATAGTATACATGGATCACGTTAAAGAAGATGAAACACACGGGACAAAATTAAATTAAATAGCTTTCGTGGTACGTAATCTCGCCACACATTTATATTTTGTGTCGCTATATTCAGCGCTAAATGTGCGGTGAAAATTACCACTGTCAATAAAGTTATGCAATTGTTCGTGCACACAATAGTTTAAAAGCGTCGATATGCGATATCTTTGTTCGATACGCAAAAAATCTCTAATTATAATACAAATTTGCGCGCGTGTACATATATTTTTTTACATATATAATCTCTACTATCTATCTGAAAGATATAACGCAAGTCTATAAAAATATGACAACGCTATCACCGGTATCAAAATTTAAACGTGGGGCGAGAGAAGAAGAAACGCGTACATCGAGTAAGTTTATCTTATTCTTTCTTAAGAGCAGTACACAATCCCCAATTTTGTAAGCGTCGTGCGGTCTTTATTCTCTCGCGCGTTCGTATATAAATCATTCGTTCAGGCACTCCATTTGCGCTTGTTTGACTAATATTATATCGGATACAAACGTGTACGAATATAACGGCAGGAAGGGCTCGTTCATGAAAACTCGTAGAGTTTTAGTTTCGGCACAAACGTCGCGTTCTTCAAGTCTCCCTTTCCGCACGGAAGTCGTAGAAAAACTGCGGCAAAAAGTATAATCGATTTATATTTTGAGAAATAATCGTCAAAAAAAATTTAGCGCAACATACCTCTCTGTCCAAATCTCTTTGTGTCCACACTTTGATAACAGGAAGTTTATTCTGTCGAAACGAGAGAAATATTATCAGAAAATAAATTATTTTTTGTTAATTGAGCTTTACTCCTCGAGCTTTACTCCTCGTTATCGTACTCACATTTGCAGAATCAGACTGATTAACGATAAGACGAGGATTAAGCGCGAACGGAACTCCATCGAGATCGGACGAGCCTGGAAGCGTGCCGTAAACGGGCGTCGAACCGACAACGGGCAGAGCGGATGTGGGCGGTTGAGGCGCCGGCCTCGTGGGCCTGATTCTCGCGTTAAGACTTAGTACTTCGTAATCTCGATCGCCGGATTCGTCATTGTCCTTATTAGTTGCGCCACCAATTTGCGGATAGATCCCGTTGACTGGTGGTTTTGGCGAGAACTTTGGTTTCGGAGGTCGCTCGGGGGCTGGTCTGTGAGGAGATCCGTTCGAAGGATTCGGGGAAGGACTTTGTAGTAAGCTGCATCGTAAAATACATATAAGATGAAGTTGAGATTGCGCACTTTGCGTGATGCAAACAAAAATAACTTACTCTATATTAACATATGACTGCGAGTCTGAATTTGCATTTATGATATCTACTGTTTTATAGCACACGCGAACACCATTTATAACACTGAAAAGAAAAAGATATCTTAAAATATGTTGCAATCTTAAGATGTTAATGAGTATTAATTCTTTGCATATGTATTGCTGATAATGTACGATATATGTATATATTCTATATTCATATATTTTTTTAAATATTTACATTTAGAAAATATTATATAGATTATTTATTTTCTATTGTTAATTATTATTTGATAAATACAGATATTTAAATTGTGTGAATGCTAAATTTAATGTAAAATCAATTATTACATATATATATATATATATATATATATATATATATATATATTAAAAGTGCAAAGAATTGACGGTATTAAAAGCAACGTACCCGGCGGCGGAGAATCCAATGGGAGCCAATTTGGAATCCTTGTGGATTATCCTACTGCATATTATGATATCCGTGACTGCTTTCGCGCACAAATTCTTATTTCTAATTTTATAGCACACCTGTTTCTTCCGCCAGGCTTTTTGCCCTGCAATTAATTTTTTTAAGTTAAAAATTTATATATCTTTCATGGGCAAATATAGTAGCACACTGAAGAAAGAGAAATTTACTCGAATCCACGGTATACGAGATCATATTGTATCCTTCCGGCGGAGTATCTCGTTCATTAATCACCACGATATCTTCTACCACGCAACCGGGCGGACCCTCGGTTTTTGAGAAGCAGATGTATCTGCCCTTCTTCTTGATGAACAGACCGCTTTCTCTCCACAGATCGGCGTCAGTGTCCTGGTCGTAAGTTCTCGACACCTTAACGAAACGCAATCGTATGCCTTAATTATCAGCGACGACAGATTACGCGTATGTATATGAAAGATAAGTCGAGTATATTAACACATCGATCCCGTACCACTGTGAAGTTTGGCGGACACTTATCTACGTCTTCGACAACGCTAATGGCAGTTATTGGCCTGTCGTCTGGCAACACAGCCGACACTTGATGAACCAGCATCTTGCAGCTCTTCTTTGACATTGCTGCGATCCCGGATACCTGTCGAGCCATTTCCGATTAGACAATTAATACACTTGTAAATACAGTAAAATCCTGTATATCTCTCGCGTTATACAGGGTCTACTGTATTGCTTTCTCTTTTTTGACAAATGTATTATACTTATTAATCGAGATTAACACTCGCAATCATTACAATGGCCATTGTTGGACGATTATTGCGAAAAAGTGCTGGATATTTGATTAAATCAATTAGATGATACGATAAAACTTGCGATCGTAAATAACGACGTGTCCAAAAGTTGCGAACGCGATCGCCTTTTTCCGATGTATCAGCAAAACGCTCCAAAAATATCAACGTGTGACCGACATTCTCCGCTCCACGAGTTTTCCGAGCGGGGAGCAATCGACTATGAAACACTCGTTAACCGACACGATGGTAAAAGACCGATGAAGAAGTGAAAGACCGATTGAATCCTTCGCTTGCAATCGATCTTTCACTCTCGATTCGACTTGCAGTTTGGCTGGAGAATAGATTTTCATTCAGAGACGCCAAGACGTTTTACATCAAACGGGGGCTTGATTGTAATCACCTGTTTGACCTGTGACTGATCAATGAAAAGATCCACGAGTTTTCTACTCGTATTAATAAGCCAACGATAATGATTAGCCTCTCGAAAAATGACAAGCTCGCTGAGAAAATTGATCCCATCTAACATAAAATTCCATCGGCGATCGTTTCGCAGCAACGGTTGATGAGCAATCTAGCATGAATTAACAACAGGCGGGCTCGAGAAAGGCGTAAGAGGAAAGTAAAGTGGAACGTACGGCATGTTCGTGGAAGAATGTGCCGCTGCATTAATAATCGCGCCAACATCTTGTAGGCGGCTTCTTTGGCGAACGTGTTTTCCGTGACAAATTTAAAGTTCATCTCGACGTCAACAAAATGTTTGTGAAATCTCCAGCAGTGAATGAATCACGATGACATGTCATTTCATTGCGGTAGAGTGGCTCTTTCCTGCCACTTAAACCCAAGAAGAGGAATCTATCAATGCTTTATTAATAACTCTTCGAATAAACATATCTTGATTTGCGTCAGCATCTTAGAAACGAATCGACAACCAGTATCGGCCAACTTTTGGGAAGTTTAAATAGATTTGAATTCGCGGAAGAAAACGTCATACACGAAATTTGAATGAAGGCGAGCCAGTCATCGCTGTCGCAACGCAAAAGATCATGGAATCCGGACTCTTGCGAAACAATGATAATCGAAATCCGTCCTTCTCATCTTTAAGATAATTCATTGAGACTCGGGCGAGGTGCTTTTTCGCAATCATCGTTCGCACAAAGGAACCAAATCTTTGAATCGCGCCACGTTTAGCATTGACGTAAAACACTTGTAGAGATAAACATTCATACATGTACGTGTGTACGCGTGTGTACATTTACATTCTTACTATTAAAGAGATAAAGCTCGAGAGATCGGTGATATCTGGCGAGTGTTGGATATAGTAAAATATATCATAGTAAAATAAATAGATAAATGCTAGTCAAAACAAACAACACGCATAACACATCGCGAGACGCAGAGGGAAGAGAGAGCCGAGGGAGACCCGGGGGGATCCGGCGCGTTGCTCGAGGGCGTGCTCGAGAAGGGAGGTCGATAGAAAGATACTAGGAGACGCGACATACGTATACATGTACGTATGTATTGTACGCGATGCCACTCTTCCCCCTTTCGTAGATTATATTAGACGTGTCATCGGCCGCGCGCGACGTCGCCTCTCGACGTCGCGAGGCGCTCGATAGAGGTTGACCTTCTCGCGACGTCGCGCCGCGACGTTGAAGCCCTCGTCACGTCTTCTCTTCCTCTCCTCCTCCTCCTCCTTCGTCCTTTTCGTCTTCCTCACACGATCGCGCACTCCGCGCTGACGACGAAGCGACGACGATGTCTCGTACCGGCGCGCATATTATACACTTTGGAGCGGCTGACAACGGAAGATGACGTCAATCGACCCCGGAGTACCCACGCTACACCGTTGTCCGACGACGACGCGCCTTGCGAAACTAACCGAAAACGTGCCGAGCGCTGCCGAGGCCGCCGAACTCCGACCCGACCGCGAGGCGGTTGACGGTTGACAGATGGCGTTCGTCTGAACCTCGCCGCGCATGCGCGTACGCGGCTGTGCCACGAAGTATGCGAATAATGTAGAGAGTGTCCTCGCTGTTCGTACACGATACGCGTGATGGACGAAGTGACTGATTTCATTGGCTGCGGCATATTGTCACTACTCGTCTTTTTTTATAAATAAAAAATATGCATATCAAAACATATTTTTCATAATAAAATGCTAATGATTTTGAAATTATGATTGTGTAATTCAAGGATTATGAAAAAAAAAGCAATCATTATCGATAGTTGCACAAGAAGTGACACGTGGCCTTAATTCCTACTCGCATAACAGTCCTACTCGTCATGTGTTTTTCAAAAGGTTAGTAAGGGGATTGCCTTTTCCCATGCGAATAAACAAGTGGAGAAATAAAATGAAAATAAGCATCAATAGGGACAGATTAAGAATCACTTATAAGTAATAGGGGTAATAGATTATAAACGATACATTGAACTTCAACTTTTTCCTCTTCATGTTCGTGGAAAATTCCTAAAATTCCTAAATGGAATTACATTCCTCCCAATTATATCAGTGACGTGTTGGTGTATATATTCGCGTATAATGCGATGGACCCGACATTGCCGGTGTGTCTGACAGACGTTAAGTGTTAAGCGAGTAATCAATTAATACTGACCAGTACTTGTATTTATTTGTGTGTTTATTCGTTAATTTGTTTCTCGCGTTAACTTTCAACTGATTGACAGATATATACGAAATATTATTCTCTTTAAATTCTTATGATTTCTAGAGAGAAAGATATCGCTGCGAATTGAAAACATGACGAATACAGATGACAACCCATTTTATTACTCTTTAAACGGTGATAAACAAGAAGATGAAGTAAGTTTATCTCTTGTTTTATTTTCTCCTCTTTTTCTTAAATTTTTTATTTGTTTGTGATTAGTAGAGAGATTTTTTTGGTGATGTCCAAGATTTAAACAATTATGATTTCTTACAGAAATTGTTGGAACCAATCAGATACATTCTTCAAGTTCCTGGAAAGCAGATAAGGGCAAAATTAGCCCAGGCTTTTAATTATTGGCTAAAGATATCGCCTGATAGAACAGAAGCAATTGAGGAAATAGTAACCATGCTTCACAACTCGAGTATTATGTAAATTACAAAACTGGATTTTATTCAAATTAATGAGGAAATAATTATCTTCTCTCTAATGAGAAAATAATTATCATATTAATAATTAGGAATTTGGCTCAAATAAATAAATAAAAATTAAATCAAAATTAGCATAAGAGCCACTCTTATGCCAATTTTGATGTAATTTTGATTTAATTATATATTATATTATTTAAATAAGTCCTCTCTCTAATAATATAATAAATAAATCTAATAATATGATAAAGCCAGGTAGAAATATATGTTCTATGTATATAGAGATATATTCCATTAAAAAAATTTACAGGATATATTTCAATATTATTTTTATATTACATTTATTTTTTTATTTTACATGTATAACATTTAATTTACATATCAAAATTACAATTTTCTATATATTTTTAATATCATAATTTGTCTTTTTTTTTTACAGAACTGATGACATTCAAGATAATTCTATTTTGCGAAGAGGTATTCCTGTCGCTCATTCTGTTTATGGAATTGCTAGTTCACTAAATGCTGCAAATTATATATTGTTTATTGCTTTGGAACGAGTTATTAATTTACAACATCCTGCAGTAAGTAATCTCTTTTATACTTACAAAAAAAAGGGTAAAGTACTTTAGTCGCATTATATTTACAAAAAAAGATCGAAAGTAGATCTAAAGAGATAAGATCTTAATCTCTCTTGATGTTCAGATATTATCAACAAATGCAAAACTTAAATATTATCCTCGGATTATATCTATGTCATTAAATATAAAACATAGTGTATAAATACATAGTGTATAAATACATTGGACGCATAGTGTATAAATGACTAATTTATAAATACATTAACAACAGTGTATAAATACACTGAAAACATTAAAATTTATTTTGTTAGTAGTATAAAATAAATTAAAGTTATTGCGAGAACTTGACGGAAATTACCATATGTACATGTTTTATTATAAAATACATGTTTTATTTTAATATATACTGTTTTAATATACAGGTATCATTAAAATTGCAAAAAAGCTTCATAATTGCATGGTAGATAAAATTAGCTAACAGCAATACAAATCTGATGCATCGGGGTGTTCTTTTATCTCGCAGATCATTCGGCAATGCATATATGTTTTTTGATTATATCAAGCTGCATAATGTATGTTTCTCTCTTGGTTAAAATTTTACAAGAATACAGTATTCTTTTAATTGATCAGCAATGTCTTCAAATATTTGTAATCCTGAAAATGATACTGATGGAATATTCGAAATATTGATTATTGACGGTTAGCAATATTTATATAATAAAAAAGGTAAATTTTTTGTTAATTATTAAGCTTCTTACTATTGCAAATAGCTATAGCTATAATTTCTGATTGATATTAAGTATTTTGTTCATAACTTTAGAATATTCCCATTTTGTTTAACTTTTCTTAATTTTGAGTTCTTTAATATTTTTGTACATCTTTAACAAGCTTTTTGGTATAATTGTGTTTTTATTTTATAATTTTAATTACTTAAAACTTAAAAATTACGTGAAAAAATATATAAGTTTTCTTCCAACAAAATAATAGAATCAGCTGACATTCTGAATAGCTCTGAATCCTCTGAATCATTCATTATTGAGTTTAGCGCTCAGTTTGCTCGAAGATCACGTGATTCAAGCTCGACATCTGCTCGCTCGCATCTCAGATTTGTATTGCCGAACGCAGTAATTGTGTTGCAACTGCAACTTCTTTTTATGATTAAAATTGTAAGAGATAAACTTCACAATTGCATGTTAAATAAATTTGTGTTGCATTAACTGCAATTTCTTATCATCATTGAAATTGTAAAAAATAAGTTTCACATATGCATATTAAATAAAATTGTATTGCATTAATGCATTAACTGCAATTTCCAGGCAACACAAGTGTATATGGAACAATTGTTGGAACTTCACAGAGGTCAAGGGATGGATATTTTTTGGCGAGACAATTTCATTTGTCCAAGTGAGGAAGATTACAAGACTATGACAATAAGAAGTAAATGTTAAAAAAAATATATATGTATATTTTTTTGAAATTAAAAAAATTATACATGATATATACATATATATATATACATATATATATATATATATATATATATATATATATATGAAAAAATTAAACTATTAATTAATTTTGCAGAGACTGGTGGTCTCTTTAACTTGGCGGTAAGATTAATGAAATTGTTTTCAACTTATGAAGAAGATTTATCATCGCTAGTAGCCATTTTGGGTTTATACTTTCAAATACGCGATGATTATTGCAATTTATGCCTCGGTGAAGTAAGTATTTAAATAATATATTTTTATAAAACTATGCATACTTAAGTAAATTGAAAAAATTGAAATTAATTTTTCGTTATAGTATACCGAAAATAAAAGTTACTGTGAGGACTTGACTGAAGGAAAATTTAGCTTTCCAATTATTCATGCGCTTACAACAAATCCTGATGACAGGCAAATAATAAGTATCCTTCAGTATATATTATTTTTTTATTGAAAAAAAATATTTTTCTTAATTAACACATTACTAACACATACTAGAGAAATGTAAACAGTCCTACATTAAATACAAACACACACATATGGATGACACCCGATTGACCACGTCGCCAATTGGCTAATTCAAAATAGAACTCTGATTGGTCAATTGCAACGTTGCTGGTTACCCTAGGCACAGGTCGATATAGCCTATGTTCCAAAATTCACTGCCAGCGCTGAAAATATATAATATACGTAACGTGAACTATAGATTTTCAGCGCTGACAGTGAATTTTGGAACACGCCCATAATTGGCTGTGATCAATCGAGGTACTCCCCACACACAACATACACGTACACATAATTTTCAAAAACAATATAATTATAATTTATAATTTTATTATATAATTTATAATTTTATTATATATAGGTTTCCTTAATGCCTGATAAAGATATTTTGAGACAACGAACAAAAGATATTGAAGTGAAACGTCATTGCATTAAATTGCTAGAGAAATTTGGCTCTTTCAAGTACACAAGAGGCGTACTTGAAGAGTTGGACATGAAGGCAAGAGCTGAAATTGATCGTTTAGGAGGCAACCCACTCCTAATAAAAATTCTAGATGAGCTCAAGAATTGGGATACCAAAGAAGCGCCTAAAGATCCCTTAACTGGAACATTTTAAATTTAAGAAAGAAAGATATATATTAAATTTATGTATTTCTTTATCCTATAAAAATGCATGTTTCCAGTGTTACGCAAAGTAATCTGTTATTAATAGCAAGAGAAAACAAGGGATGATTGTGTGAAATAAATAATATATGGAATATATAAAAAAAATAATATATAAAATAATCGTAGTAGTAAGAAATGCAATTAATAAATATAAAATAAAATTTCTTAATAGAAACTTCGTTTTTGAAGAAAAAAGCTGGCTTGTAAAAAACGTATTCGAAAATAAGAATGATAATTATATCTTGCTTGCTTATTTACAAATAGTATAAAATAATACAGATTTGTGCAAGTGAAATTAAATTTAATATTTGTGTATTTTATATGTAATGTTTATATTTTAATATTTTATATTTTATATTAAAAAAAATTGTAGCGTATTTTTATTATGTTAAAAACTATATTGCATAAATATAATTATATATCTCTTACTAAGCATATTTTAAGTCATTGATTTTTCAAACATTGTTCTTGCTTTTAAAGCTTTATTACTTTTAGGATTTTCAAATTATTATTTCAATATATTTCAACTAATCTTATGCAAAATCATCCCATTACCAATTGTACTATTAATAATGGATTATTGTATTAGTGAGTATTGTATTAGTATTATATATTGCAAATTATAATAGAAACTTGTAAACAAGACAAAGCAATTTTGGTATCAAGAAAGAGGCTATAAATTCAATCTGTGATATTAAGAATGGAAATATTTCTTTTTTTTTCCTCATAGTTCTCTTTTATATAAATGAATTTCATGAGTTGGAAGATACTTTTAGAAAGTATTTATTAGCATAACGTGTATACAATAATTTAGTAGCATACTGAATAATCACTTTATCGAAGTTTTATAGTTTTGTACATATCATGCATTATAATATTATACGTATATTTGTACCTGTTATGTTCTAAAATGCATAATGCATAGAAAATCATCACCTATAAACTATCCAGACAAAATATATTTTTAAAAAACGGCTTAAAGACGTTTTATTATTCTTTAGACGTCTCTTAGATCTTTTGGCTTTTTTGTAATGTCTGGGTAAGAAATATCTATCTAAGAAAAATATTTATGCATTTTTTCATTCCTCCGTGTACCTATGCGCATACAATATACCTCTCTTCCATTACTATATTATCGTATTTAGATTTATGCAGATTTATGCAAATTTAATAATTAGTAAATTCAGTATGCTTTTCTCCTTTATCTTTTTTTTAGATTTTTAGATTAAGTCTCGCACACAAAATGACTTTTTAGTCATTTATTTTGCATAACTTTAGAAGGCATTATTACGGCCTCGCGTATTTGTAATGTTTGTTTCTTTGCCACGAGCAGAATCATTTGCTTTCACAGGATCAAATCGGATCAAAGATTTGTCAGATCTAAGATAACGTGGCGATTTGACATGTCCTCTGTTCAAGCTCGCTGTCCTCGTCGGATTCGCTAGCCCAGGAGGACCGTCGCTCGTGTCATATCTCACCATCGCTATCCCCGGGACAGCGACCTGATCCTGATACGCCGTCATCGAGAACCTCCGTTACCTTGCAAAACACAATGATTGATAGATATAATAGCAAGAAAAAATTTGTAATAAATATTAATGCGTATTTTGTAGTAGAATCTGAATTAATTTTCATACCAATGAATCAAAAAAAGCGAATCTATCTCAATACATTAAAATCAAAAAAATTGTAAAAAAAATTAGAAAAATATCGATTATGATATATACACGGTGGGCCATTTTAATCGATGCACTCGAATATCTCGAAAACAGCACTCTTCAGAAAGAAATGTTTCAAACAAAAATTGTAGGGTGTGAAGGGGGACATAAGATGGTAGCATTGGCTTGGAAAGTCATTTGAAGGTCACATAAAAGTCACCTTCAATTTCTTAAATTGAACCCACTATTTTTCATTACATATTCTTGTAGCTTATCTCGAGAGCTTTCCAAAACACTACAGACAAATGTTTTTTCATTAAATACTTTTTGAGTTATAAGGCTTCAAAGTTTGCAGTACTTCGATATAAAATGCAAAATATCTCGTAAAATATTTAGTTTTCGGTAGTCTTACCCTAATACTTTTATGCACAGGATAATGAGACAAAACTATTGGTGCAAAGAAAACGTATGATTGTTTATGATAAAAAATGTGTAATTTGCAATGCACTTTTTGTTATAAACAATCATGCGTTTTCTTTGCACCAATAGTTTTGTCTCATTATCCTGTGCATAAAAGTATTAGGGTAAGACTACCGAAAACTAAATATTTTACGAGATATTTTGCATTTTATATCGAAGTACTGCAAACTTTGAAGCCTTATAACTCAAAAAGTATTTAATGAAAAAACATTTGTCTGTAGTGTTTTGGAAAGCTCTCGAGATAAGCTACAAGAATATGTAATGAAAAATAGTGGGTTCAATTTAAGAAATTGAAGGTGACTTTTATGTGACCTTCAAATGACTTTTCAAGGTCAAACCAATGCTACCATCTTATGTCTCCCTTCACACCCTACAATTTTTGTTTGAAACATTTCTTTCTGAAGAGTGCTGTTTTCGAGATATTCGAGTGCATCGATTAAAATGGCCCACCGTGTATATATAATATTTCACTCTCTCTCTCTCTCTCTCTCTCTCTCTCTCTCTATATATATATATATATATATATATATATATATATATATATATATTAAATTTTAAAATACAGAGCAGTGAAATGCTCTGTATTTAAAGAAACTGGGCGACAAATTTTTAAAATATAAATGAGTTTAATAAATTAATAAAGAATTAGATTCTTAAACAAACGATACTCAAGAAACGAGCGATTAAGAGCCAACGCGGATGGTAATGCGTAAAAAAATATTTATAAATATTAATATATAAATTTATTATGGATTTTTTTCTGTACTCTGTGAAGGTGAAATACAAGGAATGAATAAATTCCTCACAAGATTCTAATCTCAATAAAGGAGAAGGGGAACGAGAAATCGATGCAGATCTTGAGGATACTCACTAGGACTTCCTCGAAGCGATCGTAATTGTCCTGCCTGGAGTTCAAGAGACTCTCGCCTACGGAATCGGTTCCGACGTTCGATTGGCAAGAATCTCGTCGTCCTAATGCACTCGATGCAATATGCAGCAAGGACAATACCGCCAACAGGCCGGCTGCAAACCGTATCTATATATATCAGAGAATTCATACAGGGAAATAGAACGAGGAATCTACGTTCTCTTACCCGCAACGTAGGAGAGCCAAAGTCTATTGGGTCGCCATGCCAAGACGCATGATAATGGCAAATACAGCAACGCTTTTCGCCAGCCTCGTGTAGTTGTCAAAACAGTGGACCAACAACATGAGCAGAGAGAATCTTCGTTTCTGAAAAAAAATGCCAGAATTCTTTTTTTTTTTCATAGAAAGAAATTTTCATCCGTTTGCGAAGTTAAAAATATCATTTTAGGGAGAGAGAGAAAGAAATAAAATGTGTGTGTCGTACTAAAAAAAATAAATTATAAATTAATTAATATATACCTACACATTTCATACATGCTACTTATTTAAATCAAATAAATTGTAAATTCAATTTTTTTATTCTCGCGCAAAGTTTTATTTTAATTATATATTAAATGTTAATTATATAAAACATATAATTATATGTTATATAATTATATGTTTTATATAATTATATGTTAAATGTTGAACCGATTTAAAGATTATATTTAATTCTATTTGCCAATAATTTATAATTGTTAATTATATGAATAATTGACATCAAAAAGAAGCGAATGAAATGTATTTATTTCTCGAAGAGTTAATACTTGCAAACATTGTAAAAATATTTACGTAAACTCCAATGCGTACGCGAGAGTAGGATTATCTTATTCAAATTCGATAAACGAAACTTTTATGAGAACGACATTCCATTAAATCGCGGACGAATAATCAGCTTTAATCCTTGTTATAGCTTCATCAATTTTCATTCAATTTCCCTTTTCTTTTTAAAGAAGAAGAAACAAGACGATTTCTTCGACTCAATTTCTCGCGTCGAATACTTTTGCCATTCATTACAAGATTAATAAATTAAAACCTGTCTTTGTACAAAAAGATTTTATTTCAAAAGAAAAACTCAATTTGTAATAGCTAATATATCATATCATATGCAACAAGTTTTACATTATAATTTCTTAATTGTGTGTTATCAGTTTTCTGTAAAATTGATCTTTTCACAAAAAGTTTTAACCATTTTATAAAGCGTCGAATTTTTGCAAGTCGGCGTTTTAATTCTAAACTTAATTTTTATTTGCATACACATATGTATGTACACATTAGCATTTACACATGGAATAGCGATTTCGTTTGTAATTTCATGGAATTACCCGCAGTGAGCATATTGTGAAAAGGAAATTATCTGAAGCGACTTGCCAAAGCTTCGAAATTATCAGGGAAATTTCCGCCAAGGTAGACAGTAATTATCACGTGCGTCTGGAAACGTACCGGTATTAATACTCACGACAGGCTAAATTCGCCTAATCAACAGTTCGCAGAGGATTAATCCTATTACAATAACGGCGAAACGGAGAAAGTGCGAAAAAAATCATCTTTTTGTACAACTTTGTGTGAGAAGATACAGAGATAAAAGTTTCCTCTTTCAAAATTAATCGAGAAAAATAAATAAAAATATTCTTTTTCGATACCCTTTTACCTGATCAATTTATAGAAACTAAATTTTTAATTGCATTATTCTCTGAATAGATTTGAATGGACAAATTTTTATTCTTGTGCGAGATGTGTAAAAAAAGTATCTCCATCTGAAAATATGTTTTTCCGCACGAAGCGACATACACATTATCCCTCTCGTGTTGATCAGAGACAATCTAGGTAGGAGGATCTCGTGTAGGGTGATCGATCGCTCGCAGTTTTAATGGCACCGTCGTCGTCGAGGGCATAAACTTCCGCCGGGGAGTAATGTCAATTCGATGGATCGCTAAGCTAAGTTGCACGATAAAACCGTAGGAACCATAGAAGTTCTTTTACTACTTTCTCCTAACGCATACTAGCTGTACCAAGCTACGGGGAACGCTGGCGACGTCGTTCTCATTGGCCTTCGTCCCGCTGATCGATACGAGCAACTTGGATAGAAAGCTGATCAGATGCGGTAATCAAGATATAATTTATCGAAAACATTTAATCAAATTACTGAGATTATCGAGGGGATGCAAAGACTTATAATTCAGTTTAAAAAGTATCTCTCTGAACAAAATATCTTTTTAGTTTACAAAAAATTTCTCTAATAAATTAATAGTTAAAACAGAAAGATAAACACATAATAACTTCATTCTCAATTAATACTTTTCATACAGATTTCCATTAACTTCAGAAATGCGAGGAGCTGAAATCTCAAAGCTGACGTTTAACACATTTATCTGGTTGAGACAGATTACTTGTAAAGGCTTCGGTCTTTGCATCGTAAAGCGTTATCTAGGTGCTTGGCGGTGGTCCGTGTTTCCTCATCCGCTCGTCGGGAAACGCGGGGAAAACTAGGGCAAACTTCCGACCTGGTTGGTAATTGTCGGTTGGCTTTGCGCTGCTTCTTTTCCGCGTTATCCTATCGCGATGGTTTGGACTCGACGATAGCTCCCCAGGGTCCTTTTAACCCCTTGCGCCCATCCAGCTTATCGTTTCTAATATACACGAACCAGTTTCGGGCAATTTGCAAAGTTATATGTCTCGATATTTGCGTTACATTCGTATGTTATACCTCGAGAAACACATATCAAAATATCTTTCATTTATTTATGTAATTTACAAATGTAATTATTAATCTCTCTTGTTATATTTATCATATATAAATAAATTTATATTATTAATTAGAAAAATAACAAAATACATCAGAATAATTAAAAATATAAATTACATATATATATATATATATATGTATATGTGTGTGTGTGTATAATTAATTATATATTTTTTTTTTATATTTAAACTTGTATATTAATTAACGAGAGAAACGAAAGAATGTATAAATAAAAATATAAATTTAAAAATTTTAAAAACAGATAGATTTTTAAGAGAAACTTTCTACATAACAAGAGATCTTATTTAACGAAATAAGATCTTTTTATATGGAAAATGGTTGTTTCTTTTTATAGGCATACCTGACGCAGAGCTGCACAAACAGCGTAATGGCCCAAGTTACTTCGAGAAAGAAGATCACACCCGATGCCGCCCTGTAATTCAAGACGTATATTTGAATTAAGAAGCTTTAAGTTGAAGAGAAACCGAATGTACGGTACGAAACTTTGCGCTTGGGATCGAACACGTCGTAATAATGCGTTCGCTTCGTCAACTTTTCAAAGAGACGCGAGAGAGAAAATCATCGGGATAAGAAAAACATACAGCGGGCTCACAGTTTCTATAAGGGTCTCGCTCTTTGCATAGATTTACGAGGATATAAATAATAATACTTTCGTTATATAAAAAAATTCATGTCAATGTTTGTCAATTGAGAGAACGTGACTCGACTGTGTCGGTTGTAAGGCGAGGGATGGCGATTTGTATCCTGGAAGAATCACGATACTCCACGCAGTGTATCAATGATTTAAGGGAGTCGAATGCTTTGCGTAAAACGCGAGGGAAGCTCTGCCTGTAAAAAATGTAAAACATTTCTCTCAATCTTTCCCACTCGCCGCGATATTTTTCCCGCAAGTGCGAGTGAGTGAGACGCCAGCAAGAAAATTGCAGTGAGCAATGTCGAAAATATTTCTTTTTGCCGCAGCACTCGAGTTCATTGCACATATATATATATATATATACACTGGTGGAAAAATGCGACTGCGGAAAGAATATCTAATTAAGAGTTATTGTTGTTTCTACGCGTCGAACGCGGAATTTATTAGAGGAATTTATCAGACGCTTGCGTTTTAATTTGCGCGAGGATATTGCAAAAAAAACGTCATGAATTAAGAAATCGAAATATAATTGTATGCGATGCAAAACAAATTTAGATAATGTATAACTTGTGACAGAGTTTGAAACAGATTTTCAATTAGAATCTTATATTGTATTTTTCTACTAGTGTTTCCTATATAATCTATAAATAATACAATTATATATCGTATATAATTCTGTTCTCTACAGATTCTTCATGAATGCAAATTATCTAAAGTGAGCTTTAGTAGATTTTTCAAATGAGCAAAAAATCTTAAATTTCATCAAGCAAATAAAAAAAAAGTTATACGAATATACTCTAATGCATGTATACGTATATTAACGTACAAAATCAAGTTAGTTCGAAAGATTATTATGTTTAATTTATCGTTAAATAAGGAAAAACTTTCGACTTGCTCCCTTTTTTTCCCGTGACCGAGTAAATACCTTGCCTTAAAGATAATCTTATTCCAACATTGCGCTTCCATTCCTGATAATCTAATTGGCCCTAAATTAGATCTCTCGAGGATGGATCGAATCGCATGAATTGCCTGATAAGTAAGAACAGTCGTAAAGATTTTCACCGTCGTTCATCGTACTTAATTATCATACTACTGGTACTCGACAAAGTGGATCTCATCCAGGAATCGTAATTAAAGCACACAGCTGAGAGTATGCGAAGCATAAAAGGCCAGGAACAATGGAGCTACAGGATATGCCGTGGAAATTAGAATCTCATGTTTAGCCCTTAAAAGCGAGATATGTGTTACTCCGCTCTGTTTACATAAATAACTTACATGTACGAATATCTCTTATTACGAATATCTACAATTATTATTATTATTATTATTATTATTATTATTATTATTATTATTTAGACAATAAGACGCATGAGAAGAAATTAAATAAAATAATTAAATAAAATAATAAAAAATGCTAACGTATAGTAATATAAATAATAATTTTAGTTCTCTAAAAGAACTCAATCGTTTACAATATTGTTGGGCGCATACAATCATTGAACGTACTACGGTAAATGTTGTCGCTTGTTTCTGACAGATGGACAAATAGTAATCGCCCTGCGAGAAACAAAGTGAATTGAAAGGAATGGACGGAAATCTCCTTTGCAAAATTAAATTACTCCTTCGTATATTTCGAAGGATTCGATTATTCGAAGAAGCGAGTGTTCGATTTCGCGAGATGACATTTACTTCCATCGATACCATCCCTCGATTCACCCGTTTTAGTCTTCTTCTCGCGAATCTTCAATATGTATGTCGACGCAGAAAAATCGCGATAACGTGCGCGCGGGAGGCTGATAATGCGTGAATTGAATTACGGTATACGCATGTTGAATTATCCTCACGTAACGTAAAGCCCCATGACATGTCGATGGTACGCCACATCCGCGCCGACGCCGCACACAACTGCAACAGAAAGAAAGAGGATCAAAAAGATTGCATCTCCGGTCCCGCGTCTGATGAATCCCATCTCGCCCACCCCGCTATATACGATATGTATTTCGCAGACATCGATCTTCTCGATCGTATTTTACGCCGAACGAGATTCGCGTAATTTATAACCGCGGGTGCAACTCTCGCATACGAATCGTCGCGAAATATTTCAACTACGATAAATCGAGCGTGTTTCAAATATATACGATATATGCGATAATATATTTCTTTTTTTATTCTTATCCAATAATTTTTTATCGAATTTTTGATCGCATTGCATTTTTCTAACATCACATACACTACACATCTTAAATATTGGATTAAATATTGGAATTTATATTAATATCGTATTAAATTATTTTTGATTTTATTCTAGTTTCTTCATCTTAAATATTGGATTTATATTAATATCGTATTAAATTATTTTTAATTTTATTCGAGTTTCTTTACTCGCGAATTAATTATCATCGCACGCGTTTGATAGAAATTTAACTTTTCAATCTCAATTTAATACTATAAATTTGATATATATTTAAATTTTTGTTAAATATTTCTCTCTCTGTCTCTCTCTTCCTTCTTTCTTTTGAAACATTTTATATATCTATCCATCTTCTCTAGAGGGAAACACCGATATTCCCGCAGGATACTTCGCAGCATAAATTCTCCTCTCCGTGTGCTTCCGTATGCATGCCGGTGCATTAATTACCGCTTCTGAAATCCGCCCATGCATTCCAAACGTGTGGGACGGACGTGCGAGTCGGAATCTTTTGCGTTTGTTATATCTAATTCGTTGCGATAATGAATGTTGGAAAAAGAAACGACGATCCGCGATTTTGTAAATGTGAAAGGAAAAAGATTCTAAAGATGTCCCTTGCATCTTGTCAAAAATTTGTGATATATTCTATCGAGGGATCTTCAGCTTAACAAAAAATAAAAAGTTGAAAGATTTATAATATTGAAAATTATTATATCGAAAAATATCAGCAGCATCGAAAGGCAAACGTAAAATGACTTTATGAAAACGTTACATGCGATATTTTGATCGAGAGAGATCCCGTATTAATTCGCGCAATCGTGGTATAAAATTATTCTATTGTATATGTCGGAGAGAGTACATACGTGTTCTATGCAAGTATCATGTGCACAATGGATCGACTATATTCCCGCTTGACAGGAAATCAATATAGTAGGTTCGAGCGGGATTTTTTTCTCGCGAGCAGTAGTTCAATTTGAACGCCTACTACAGACAAGAGGACAAAGCCGATCATCTCGAATCAATGTAATTGCCCTCAGGAGAATGCACGTACATGTCAGGTGATGCTTCATCGAAACTCAGCTTCGAGCACATTGTTGTGAATGAAACGCGTTGCTAAATTTTTGAACGAGAAACAGAGAGATACACATCTCCTAAATATATTTTTTTTAGAAAAATAAAGTATAATTTTCAATCCTGTGAAGAGAACTGTATTTTTGAGTTAATAATTTACATTTATTGTGACGGAGAGATATACAGTATGATCATTATAACATTTAAACCGTCAAACACAAACGAATGTGTGTGACGATGATAACTGCAAGTGCTCCGATCTGTCTGGAAATGGTGCTCTATCAATCCACCGCTGTGACGAGATGCGACTTAACGCTTCGAAATTTTTCAAAAATCCAATCCTTGACAGTTGAAATGCGATTTCGATCAATTCTATGAAAAACTGAAATAGAAAAAAAAGATTTAATTAAATTGAAATTGAATAAAAGATCGGTTTCTCTCGCGTGCAAGTTTTATCGCCACGCTCGGCTGAAACTCTATTGTCAATGTGGAATTTTCAGATACGCGTAGAATACAATTTAAGCTGTTTGGACTAGAAGTAATTTCTGAGAAAACCGAAGAAAAAAATATCAAAGAGCAGTTCATGAAAGATCCTAATTGCAGAGCGGAATCGATCAAAGGATTTCTGTAAAATGAAATAATTAACACACGAGGAAATAATTACACCGGCCACTAGAGAACTTTCATTTATGCTACCATGTTGCAAATGCAATTAACAATAAGAACATTTGAAGAAAATCATCATTCAATTTTAATGACGCGTTTCTCATATGAAAATTGCAACAATCGAAGGAATAATTATTTAACAGGTAAATCCAATGATTTTCGACAAATTTAATAAATTAAAATTAATTGCTATTAAAAGCTGTCGATCGTATTAATTAATTCATTGTGAATTTACTGCAATCAAACTTTTATACTCGATGCAAAGTATAGTGTACTCATGCAATCTCATACGATTACTTTTGCATCGAATCGTATTTTGGATTGTAAACTCTAGAAGCGAAATTTTCCAATTATCGATTTGCAAACAACGTAACCACAGCTTACAGTTTCATTTCATAAGAAACTTGACAACGGGAAATGTGCGCGTGTATGTGTGTGTATATATATCTGCGCGCGCGTATTTCCGAATTCAACGACGAATTTGGGGAAACGCGAGCGCGATGTATTATTCAGAGGACGAAGTCGCGTGAAGTTTAATAAAAGGAAAATCCGGCCAGGACGACGCATGCATCTGGGATCTTTTCGACTGAGAAGAAAATACTTGCGAAAAATTTTACGCTTCTTATCCAACTCTCCCGCGATATGTTTTTATTTTATATATTTACGTGTTGGCACCTATATCAGAAGGGATAAAATTCGCTGCCATAACAGGATAATTCTCACTTCCGCAGGAAGTAAAGGTAGAAAAGGAATGAGAAAGAAATAAATGGACGCTCGTAGTAATCCAATGAAAATGCATAATATTACATAATTAATTTTTGATCAAATTTTGTATTTTATGTAATTTCTATATTCAATCTGCGATTTCCGCTTTCATTTTTGTCTAAAACGATTTTTCGAATATAAATAAAGTTTCGAAAAAATATTGTTCGCCTCGATATTACAAGACCGTTCGTCGAGGATCGTTCGCAAGGTTGGCGGACGCGGGTTCTCGAGCATGTTCACCAACACGAGTCGTCGTCGGATGAATGTTCTGCGGCTGGCAGAACATGAGTCGGTCGCTTACAATTGTGTTGGTTCGCGTCTCGAATGAAATTTCCAGAACTTTATTGTCCTCTAAGATGTTCATTGGTCGATATCCATTATCCTTCCACTAACAAGAAAAGGTCGCCATCTGACTTATTTTCTCGAAAATTAGATCTTTAGAGAATATTTTCTCATATACGAGCAGGTCATATTACGTTGAGCGTTGCTACGATGACTAATTCGATTAAAAAATCAATAACCGCTTAATCTCGCAAGAAAATTGTTGATGTAAAGTTGACATCTCACCAACGTTGCTTTAACTACACTATGCGAGCGGAAGCATAACACTGAAGAAAATTATACGCGGAGATGACAAAGTGACGCTGTATTAAGAGGGTGAGAAACGTTGCGAGAGATGGCTGCGAGGTGGAAGATGCAGGAGAAAGGGCGAGAAAAGGAGAAAGCACTTTCGCGAAAACCTACCTAAGAATGAATAGTGGCCAATAGGGTGCCTTTTCCCTCTTAATCTCTTCCTCTGTCGAGGGAACGAAGACAGATTGGCGCGATCGGATTCTATCTCATGCGACTGCGTAGCTTCCTCGATATATGTATTTCTTTTTTATCTCTTGTTCGCATTTCTCCTCCCTTTTTTCCTTTTGTCGTAGTCTCGCTTTGTTCATCGAGCAAATTTTCTATGAGCGGAGTAATTTAAATTTCCGGTCTCGGATTCAATTAGAAGCACGGCGCAATTAGCCGCGGACACTATTCGTGTCGTCAAGGGTGTCCTTCCTGAAAGGACGAAAGAGCGCGATAATTAAGATGGACCACTCTCGAATATATAATTAGACCAATTAGCTTCGGAAAGTGCCGTTCTCTTGGACGACCAATATCACTTTATACGAGGGATGTGTTCGGGAACAACACTGGTGTTTCTAGTGTCTTTGAGTTGGAAATCATCTCTACGCGAATTGGATCCGAAATAGGATTCAAAATGGAATCGCGAAATTTTCTGTTCTCATTTTTAATTAATTAATTGCAATAAAAAATCTCACTCGTAGTTGATCTCAATTAATTATAACTTTTTTCAATTTATAGTTTGTGATTGGTAAATTTGAGAAGAAAATTAAGATGGAACGTTGATGGACGACTGACGCTACCTCTCCTCTCTAAAGTGACGACGCTGTAAAATCGCTAGCGCGCAGGTATATAGATATAAGCTTCTTTTGACGTAGAAAATTCAGCGAGAATTAATTTAATCCGCGGCAATCGAAGGGAATCCTCTCTCGCTCCTGTCATCGTCGAGAGAAATCGGCGGATGCGTCGAACGAACACGGCGTCGCGTTTCCGGCGACGGAGCGCGCGGATGGAAATTGAGTTTCGTCGAGTTTTCCATCGCGACGATTCGATTTGTCCCACGATGCCGTGACGAGCAGCATCAAAACTTTCTCGCGAGCGAGAGGGACGGCGATCCTCGTCGTCGCCTCGAGGTCGCGATAAAGCAGACGAGCAGAAAGAAAGCGTGGGAGAAAATCGGGTGAACAACTTTGGCGAAATGATGGATGCGCCTTGCTCAGAAAGGATCCGACCTTAGATCCCCTTGGAAAATATATCGCGTGCTTGCGATATCTTCGGAGATGGTCGAGAAAATCTATGGTTGAGAAGTACCTCAATCTCTTTCCCAATACACATTTTACTTTGTACGTTATAAATTTATTTGCAGAGTTGAATCTAAGGAAATGATGTTAAAGACTGTCGAAACTGTCAATAACTATGTCGCGCAATTTTTCTACTCCGCATACGAAATGTATTGCGGAAAATGCGGCGCATCTACGAGTCGTCAACTATGGCGAATTTCGCATATGTTCGCAACAGCTTTGCCCGGGCGGTGCGTAATGAACGAAAAAGAAAAGTGTGGAAAACCAGGACGATACGTGTATGTGTGTGCGCGCGCGCG